TCGGTACCTGGGACCGACTGTCCGTCTACGGCCGCTGGTGAAACATGGTCCACAGTGTCAGGTTAACCTTCTTCCACAGGAACTGATGATGGCACCAAACAGGAACCTCTAGGGAGGAACAAAGTTCTCCTGCTCAAAGATTATGTCGATGGCCTCGGCCACATCCTGGACCACGTGGCCCGGTTCCACCAGCCCCGGGTCGAACCTGAAGTCCCGGTGTCCGTGAAACGCCGTCTCCTCGATGCAGTGGTTCACGTCGGAGGGCAGGTCAGCTTTGGGGTTGTAGACCCCGGTGCAGACCAGCACTGACTTACAGCAGGTGGCAGAGGGCAGCGCCAGCTCGCTCTCCCACAGGCTGTCCGCGTCCTCCTCCCGGGGCACGGTGGCGGTGGACCCCGTGGCCGCCGCCATCTTGGCAACAGCTTGGTCCTTCCTGGCGGCTCTCTCCTCCAGGTGACGATTGTAGAGGTTGGCACCGTAGATGTCGGTCATCAGGTTGTCCCTGAGGACGCGGAGGCAGACGGCTGAGTACACACTTCAACTACTACAGTACTACTACTACTACTGCAGTAGCTGTACAAGGGCAGGTCAGAAAGGATTCATGAAGATAACAAACCTCCAGGTTTTAGTCTAAACTGTTGTTCAGTGTCTGAGGACATTTTGACTGACCCTCAGCCGTTTATTTTGTACTTAAATAATACACAGAATTATGTGGTAAAATGTGGATATCGTGCAGCAGATGAGGCTTTACTACATTTAGATTTCTTATTTCATTTATATATTCTTTACTACATATATATTTTTATGTTTACTTCACTACAGTTGTATGTTTGTTTTTCTATGTTTTTTTTTTTTGGTTTTATCATTTTTGCCCACAGAGCCCGCTCTCACCCCACAGCGTAGAGGGAGGTGACGGGGAGTTTCCATTTCCAGCCCACGGCCTGGTTTCTGATGAGGTATTCTGCGAAGTGGTAGGTCAACTCGCTGGGTTTCCCCATCAGAGCCTCGTACTTCAGCTCTCTGCCCGTTATCTTTTTGTAGATGTTCTCCAGACACACCAGGAACGTTCCATGACCGAACCTACAGAACCAAACAAACGTGTGTCTGTGTTCCATCATTGATCTCAGGACTGAGGTGCAGCTGGTCATGTGATGGGGGGGGGGGTAAGGAGGGGGCGGAGCTCATGGATGAAATAACGTTTCAATACTACTGATGTTTATCTTCACTCTGCTGTGTTTTGTTGTGTAAGGGTTACCGTGGCGATTGGGCCTCGGCCATCCACATGAGGTCCATGTTGCAGGCCAGAACCGGCAGATGAGGCGTCATTCTGGGTTGGTGAACACTGCCGAGGTTACCATTGGTCAACAAGACGTCGATGATCAGCTGCAGGTTGGTCTCCCATCGAACTGGCTCTCCAAACAGAACCACAGCTGTGTGTGTGTGTGTGTGTGTGTGTGTGTGTGTGTGTGAAAACAAAGTGAATCAGAGCGGTTACGTCTGAGCTCCTGATCTGGAGAAGAATCTGAAGATGAAGTAACAGGTTCATACCTTCAACTTTGGGGAGGTTCACCACAGGGCTGGGCTGGAACAGAGGACAGGAGTGAGCACGTGCAGAAGAACAAGACCAAGACCACAAAGTACACACAGTACTGTGTCAAGTATTTGAAGCAGAGAACCAGCGGTTTGTTCCTAACGTCATTTTAAATCTCCACGTCTTACAGGCAGTTTGGGTCTCCTGTTGTGGTCCACCATGTCCAGCAGGGGGTACAACTCCCTCAGCATCTCAATACTGACAACATTCTTGAAACCCAAACTGGAAAAGAAGAAATATATATGTTCTTAGAACCTTGAAAGAATGAAAACAGATTCTTCCAAATTACTCAAAGACTCAAATGTACTTTTTGGCGATCTCCAGGACCGGACCTTGTCCTGACACCAGGACACACTTGTCATGGAACTTCTTAAACATCCTCAGTGGACTGTGCGACATGACGACTTGGTCTTGGGAAATCTGCACCGAGATTAGAAGGAGAAAAAAAAGTGGTTGAGAGCAAACAGGAAGTGGTTGTTAATCCCTAAAGAAAACTCTTGGAGGACTTGCCGGCACTCCCAGGATGTAGGAGAGCTGTTCTGCCTTTGTTTGACGGAGGCAATTCCCTGCATTGGTGACAAACACAACCGGCACCACAAACTGTCCCTGAGAATCCACCAACTTCTCGAAGGCCTTTCTGGCGGCGGGTATCGGCAGCCTCCCCCGCACGAGGACGCCGTCGATATCGAACAGCAGCCCGAAGCTCGGCTGAGGCTGCAGAGAAAAAAAAAACAAAAACGAACTCCAATAAAACAGTTTGACCTTTTTCAAAACATTCCAAACCCTGCGGTGCCGCATCACAGATGAGTCCGACTGTCAGTGGTTGAGAGTGGGATTACAGCTGTGTTTATGTTCAAACCCACTCAGAAACGATCTCATCTGATTATAAACCTGATGTTTCACTGTGTCTGTTACCTGAACAGTGACGCACTGTAGTGGAAGGTACGTCGTATGAGGCCCGGGGTCGGCCATTTTCTTTGTCCTTTAACATTACACACGTGGGTAAACCACTGGATTTAGGGGCAAAATGTGGTGAAAATAAAGATGTTGTGAAAATGACAACAGACCGTGTGGAGGAGAAATATGAAAAATCAAAGTCTGATACATAATAATAATTCATGTCACTGTTTTTATTCTCAACACAGACATTTTAAAATACATTCCTGACATAGTTACTAGTCATTTATTAATAAAAAAAATATCATTTTTTAAATATCATTAAGAAATGTTTATTTAAGTTTAGTTCGTTTTTTAAATATTAAGAAATGTTTATTTAAGTTTAGTTTTTAACCTGTTTTTCAAATTTTATATATACAGATTATGCCTGACTTTAGGCTGTAAAACTGTACCATGACATATTTATTTAAAATTGAAATATAGCAACGTTTAAGTTTAAAAGAACAACAATCTAAAAGGTAACTTTAGACCGGAGGTCCGGGATTCTTGGTTACAAAAAATATTTTTGTAACCCGGCGTAAAATGAAATGTACTGTCTACAAAGAAACGTTTTTTATTTATTTTATTTCAATAAACTCACAGCATCAGTTTTTTTAATGATTCGTCGCAAGAATATATATTTCCCTGTTGTTGTGCTTAATGTTTTTGTCACAAAAGCGATACACAAACAATGTTCGTTTTGCTGGTAAACACCAGCTACATCTGCTTGGAGCCGTGACGTCACGTCCGGTACTGTTTGTTCTCTGCCAACACATCCACATCTAGCCCCGGTTACATGCAACATTGCCGAAAAAAAAGCAATGTCGATGTAGTTGACTGGTAAACGTCAATGTAGAATAAACAAACAGAACAGTCGCCGTGACGACAACTGTTTGTCCGAAGAAGCTCAAACCGTACCTGAGTTCCGCAAAAGCCGAACCGAGAACCGACATTCGCAGCTTTTCGTCTGGCATGACGGTTACTCAGGGCGTGAAAGCCCCGGTAAAACGCCAGGAATCCCCTCATCTTTCTTTATTCATCACTGAATTTTGAGTATTAGGTTTTTAAAAAATTATATAAAATAGATAAAGCCCGTTTTTAAAAAAATTATATAAAATAGATAAAGCTCGTTAGCACGAGCTAACTCGACCCGGTCGGTCTTGCTTTAGCTTTTTTTTTTCTCGCCTGTTATTTGACTGAACGAAAGCCGATGACGACATAGGACGAGGAGGAAAGGAGAAAAGGGGGGAAGGAGGAGGAGGTCAGAAGGAGGAGAATAGGGAGGAGGGGGCGCTGCAGCTGAGACAGAACTCGTGGAATCTCAGCGTTGAAAAAAGAAAAGCTCGCGCTGCACTTGGTTGCCAAGTCTGACTATTCTAAGCGAATTTGATAATGTTGAGTTTCGTGTTTACTCTTGTTTTTCGTGTCTCCAAATCCGATAAACTAAATTGCCACGATCGTCAGGCTGTAACGTCACTTAAAAAATACACCAAGAAGGGAAAGATAATCATGACGCGCCCACTGTTGATTGGCTAGTCTTCGTTGTCTGCCCTAATCAGGTCAGAAAATGTCTAAATAAACTATAAATGCGTAAAACTAGCAGACGAGATCGATTCGTCAAAAATCACAACAAACCTTAGCGTGGCCTTAAAAAAATCCGACGTCAAATGATGGATGTTAGAGTAACAACAACAAAATACAATAAAGATCATTACGGTCAACTGCTAACTGTTACGGAGGCGTCTTCCACGATTCAGATCTGGCAACATTGTTTGCGAGCTGTGGCAGTTCTGCCGCTGCCATTTTAGGAACCGCTGTGTGGCTGGGAGTGAGCGCGAGCTTCAGTGCACGAGCTTCAGTGCACAACCCAGAGCGAACACAGCTCAACGTGAGTCCCTCATCTACCACGTGACCCTCGTCGACCCGCTGTTTCTGATCACAGTAGATTCTGTGCAAGGATTCCTTTTAACTGTATTAAACTCGTTTTGTGGGGGACAACATGGATCCCGGTGAAGGACTGAATATTTACCCCCCCCCTTTTCTCCCCCTCCTCCCCTCTGTTCTATTTATAGCACACAGAAGTTGTTTGTTGTGCAGTAAAATCCCCTGCGGTTCACACGTGCTGTAGAAAGGTGCTGCAGGAACCCTAACATGGGGCCGACATTTTCAAAACAAGCTGAACCACCGTTCGACGACGTCCTTAAACAATTATACCATTAAACAATGGTATATTAATTTATTTAACACATTTTTATCCACTGTTGTTCAATTAATTAATTACAGCATAGGTTTTGTACCTATGCTGTAATTAATTAATTGAAGTTGTATGAAGTTTGAAAAGTATTATTTTGGGGAAAAAAAGACTAAATGTTAACAGTGGAAATATAATTAATCCTCCCGAAAACATTTAGCTATTTTTGTCTAAAGCTCCGACTTCAACCAAACGGCGGTGAATGAAGAAAAGTCAGGACATTTCCCCGTGCTCCTCCAGCTTTATTGATAGTTAAAATTACATTTCTATTTTCAAGGACTTCAGTTACACTTTTCCTTCCGACTTAAAAACTGAGTACAAGCAAATGGTATTTATAGAGTAGTCTAAGTGATATTGTACAAAAATAACATTTTTGATTTCTGTGAAAACATTATTTTAAATCCCCAGATAACACCTAATTCTTCTGTTCCGACAACTGTATTTTATGTTCAATATCGCCAAGGTCCCAAAAAAAGAAAAGAGTAATTCCAAAGCCATTTTAAAAGTAAAGTTTTACCTTGGACTCATTTAATTTGTAAACAGATTACTATAAAAGAACATGATTCTTTTACTACCTCCAATAGTTCTTCCTTAGCCATATAACATGTGTTTTGTCTTCACCCTCAGCTGCTCTGCTGAAATGCATCATGTTATGAAATGTTTCCATGTCAAACTCTCTTGACCAACTCGTTCCACTAAACCAAAATAACCATACAAGGAAGTTCGGTTCCTACTGACTCCCTTCTCCTATCTTGTTTAACTGAGACTCACGTCCACGAGCTCAGAGATCCTACTGATGCCCATGTGTGTCGTCCCATTTATTTCTCTCTGATCACCAGTGGCTTGGAAAGGGGGAGTTCTTTAACAAAGCATTATACATAACACCGCTACCAAACTAAAACATTTTTGTATTGAATGCAGAATGATTTTTTTTCACCCCTTTCTTTGTATTTCATATCGTGAGGCTCACTGGCCCGGGACTAGCCTCTGTTAGCCAACTTTTGGCCAGTGAAGAGGATTCAGAGAAAATAATACAACCAACCATCAATCTGAAAAAAGGAGGGGCAACAGAGCGCACTGTTTATGCGGTGGCTTCAATGGTACAGTCTTTTGCCAGGTGGCCGGCCTTGCCGCAGTTGTAGCAGCTAGCCTCGTTGGATTTACTGCAACGCACAGCAACGTGGCCAATCTCACCACACCTGCAGAGAAAGAAAGAAGACACCAGATTCAATACATTTAAGTTTTCTCTTTCTTTGTGTGAATTTGGATAAAGATGTAGACAGTGTAGATATGCATTTTCTGTTTTGTTCTGTTCATTTTATTATCTATTCTACCTCAATACTGGTGATTTTACTCCATTTTTTTAAATCATATTTTTTTCACTCCATCATTGTTGCAGTAATATCAATTTCCCAAATGATGTCAAATCATAGTTTACAATCTTAGTTTACACCCATGGCCTTGTTCACTTAAAAAAAACCCCCAAAAAAACGGTTTTAGCTAAATTAAGAATAATTGTCTGCAAAAATTTGAAAAACAACCATAACACGCAGTGACCAAAAAGCTAACACTCACCTGTAACATTTCACCTTATCGCAAAGTTTTTGAATGTGGCCAAAGCCACCGCAGCAGTAACATTTCTGCTCATTGGCATGTTCACAGTCACGGGCCACGTGACCAGCTTTGCCACAGTTGTAGCACAGCTGCTCTCTCTCCTTTTTGGGCTCCTTGCAATCACGGGAAATGTGGCCAATCGCGTGACAGTTGTAGCAGGCTATGAACGAGGAGAAGGAAAGAAAATTAAACAACATAAAAATGCATTTTTCATTCAAATGAATTAAAAAATCATAAACAAATCGTACCATCCTCAGTCTGGCAACAATCTCTGGCTATGTGTCCGTGGTTTCCACAACGAAAGCAGTGTGTATCTGTAAGACAAGGGTAAAACGCACTGAAAACCCATCAACCATGTTAATATAAATGTGCTAAAATTAATTCACAAACACTGGTATAGTGTCAAACATGGTGTTTGTTTGTGTGTGTGTAGTACAATTTACCCTTGCACCGGCCTCGGCCCCTGCCACGTCCACGGCCATTAGGGCAGGACTTGACCCAATGCCCAGAGCGGCCACATCCAAAACACTCACTGCTGCTGCTCATCTCCATTGTCTACACAAAACACAATGAACAGAGACTTTTTTAAAGATGTGTTGAAGGTTCTAAGAACCTGTAGAGCCCAGTCTACCAGATCTGGAATTATCCACCGTTTGTTGAATTCAAAAAGCATGTTGAACAGATGAACTACTATTTTAACACTAAGACTGCTACTGACACATGTTTGTCATATGTCGACAAAGCTGGGCCGCTCGAGTGGTCGTCATGTTGTTTTTCTTTCAGCAGTTTAAAACAAGAATGTGGCAAACTACAAACTAAATCAACATCTACTAAACCACCAACACCAATGCAGTAACTAGTCAGCTTTCAGTTAACCAAAATTATTTATTAAGTGTAAACAAAACTCTCTTTTATCTACTGGAGGATGAAGAACCAATAAAACAGACCTTGGTGGTCCAGTCTATTCAAAAGGAACTACGGGGGGGGCTAGTACACACCTTAAAGGGGAAACCGATTCAGCTGTTATGTCTATTTTTACGGGACATCCCACTACCAGACTAACTTACACTGCTTCTCCGATGGATTCATGTTATCGCCATAGGTCTAACGTCAAGTGTGCTGACGCTGTTGAAGTTAGGAAGAGTGGAAGTTAATCAGAAACCTTGTGACCAACACCCACAGATTGACAAGAGTCGGGTAGTAACTCATATGATTCGGAATAAAAGCGACGCGGATAACTTGTTGCTGCTGTTAATTTAATGTGATGATGGAAATACCTTGGATAAAAATAAATAAATAGATATCAAGAGGCTGGAGGGGTTTCTCCGAATAAATAAATAGAAATCAAGAGGCTGGAGGGGTTTCTCCGAAATAATCTAAGTTATACCGTTAAAATAATATATATGTATAACACATTTAATTTCCCCTAAACACGTACAATTTAAAACAGCGCAGCCGCTGACTGAAACAGACATGGCAATGCGAGCGTGTCGTTGGTTTAAAGCTAACGCGAGAAGACACATTTCGTCGTCCCACACTCATCATTTTTAAGTCGACTAAACAGTCGACATTTGGTGGTCGTAAATGTGTGTGAGCGTTAGGTGTTAACGTAGTATATTTAAATCCATTTGAAACACAGGTTGTGGCTCCGCTAACACCGGCCTGGTCACGTTGACTTTCCTCGCGAGACTCGCGTACCGTTATCTGCTGGTTTAGACATGCTAACGAGCTACCAAACCAACGCAGCCAAGAGGCACGATTCAGTCGACGACTAAAGCGGATGCCTCGGTATAAAAACTGTGTAAACGCCACTGTTGGCGTCAGTTTTTTACCGCAGAGAGTTTCCGCTAGACATTTGAACGGATTCTCTTAAAAAACAAAATTTCCCGCGCACAGCGAAGTCGTTCGGGGGGCCGGGCGGGGGAGCCGAGCTCGGTTAACGGGAGCTGAGCGCAGCATTGAGTGCAAACAAAGGGAAGCCGAACAAATCTTCAATTTCAACACATGCTGAATGTATACATGTTCAAATGTGTGCATTTACAAATACATTTGATTTTAAGACTTAAAATACGATAATGCATCTTAAATGCTTACCTCGCTGGATAACTAGCAATATCAGTGTTTACGCCTCCTTCTTTGCACTACATGCGGTGAGAACGGGAGTTCCTGAATTGTCATTCACTAAAACGCAGCCTCATCATTGGCCCTCTATTCTTCAGACAGCGAATCAGGGGTGATGATGTCTGGACACCGCCTCTACGAATCAGCCAATCTTAGTATTTATACTGTGTTGCCTTGAGATTGCGTCACAGTTTGCGTCCGTGTGTGCACACGGATCGGTCGCCATTATGGAAGAGCTGCTTCAGTGGATGGACAGACAGATATACAGTTGATAGACACATTATTTCTCACTGAACATATTTAAAAACTGATAATAAACAACTATTATAACATGACAACAATCTTTTGGCTCCGCGTGTATGATTTTTTCTCCCTAAAAATGTTTAAATTATATAATAAAGAGTTTTCTTTCTGTGATTTTTGTTGTTTCATTTTCATTGCTTGTAAAAACTATTTTTAAGAGCAATTGCACAGTCATTTTTGACTGAATTCACACAAAAGGTATTTTTATATTTTAAGCATTTTGCAAATTTAAAATAGTAACATGGACCAATGCATGTTTCAATAACTTAGTATTAAATACCAATTAACCAAGTAAACCTATACATGGTACTTTGTCAAGTTTAATTAAAAAAACACAATATTGTAGGATTGATACAGAAATGGCTCCTTGCTCCAATAGTTTGGTAATCATTGACGTATAAAACATGACTTCATAGAATAAACAAATGTATAACAGTATAAACCTTTTACACAATTTTTGAAAATGCTGTTCTACAGTTGGACACTGAAGCAGACATATGAAGAAAATCATAAATCTTTACTAAGGTTTGCAACAACAACAAAAAAAAGTTAGCTTTGGACCAAAGTCAAACTCAGAGAATAGTATTTGTTTGAAAATGCACAAAAGGAAAGCTTTGGACCAAAGTCAAACTCAGACAATAGTATTTGTTTGAAAATGCACAAAAAAGCAGGATTCGATCACGCTGTCATGGCGTCACGTTTCAATGGAACAATAAACAATATTCAACAATCAGTGCACACTCCTGCACGCTGTGATTTAGTCATTATGTGGTGAGTTGAAGACTAGTGCAGACAACAATCCGCTGGAACTCTGTCTCAGCTAACTGCCCTGAGTGCTCAGTCAAATCAATAAGTGGTGAAGAAGCCCTGCGTCTCTGTCTTAAGGTGGATTTGCTCGTTAAGTCCCAAAACAGCGGTGTCCATGTCTGGTGATCCTCGCTCTCCACCTTACACCCCCAATAGAAATCAGGCGTAAATACAATAACGTTATTTATAAGAGAATAATAATAAAAAACAAACAAAAAAAAAAGCCCCGTTATTATTGTACATTTTAAAGGCTGTAACACAGTATTGGAATTTAATATGGGGTGGAACACCTTAAGAAACTCCACACCAACAAAGCCCTGCCCTCATTTTCACAGGAGCAGTATCTGGTATTTATGCTATCTGTTTAGAAATCTCTCACTCAAACATATCAGACATGAGGATTCAATTTAAAAAAAAGTCACACGCGCTGACAGCATCGTGGAGTCACTTATACAGGAAATAAGGCTGTACGGTTGGAAAACTGTTACAGGAACTGTCCACTGCTCCAGTCTAATGGAAACAAAGTGAGGGGTTTAATCTGAGGCAACTCTTGTTGTGGGGAGAACCGTCTGTGACCCGGGCACGTCTCGACCTACTGTAGACCTGGATGCTGCAGAGATGGTAGAGAACACATGGTGAGTTTTATCGCTGCAGATGTAACTGGGTCAGGCGGGTGTTTGTTACAGTCTGCTTGTAGCGGTTCATAAATCAAATGCCAGCGCAGTGACGCGTTTAAACACTTTACGTTCTTACTTTGAGTTGAATATGAGAATGTTTCACAATTTACCTTTTTTACCCCTTCTACCTAAATGTGTATTTGTAATCCAACATGGATATCGTTCACCATATTATCTGTTGTCTTGGACCAAAGAATGATGTTGATGGAAAAAAAATAAAAATCATAGTATTCATTGTAGCAATTCTCCAGTGTCACCAGATGGCGGTGCCCTTGGACCTTGTATTGTATTTTCGCCAAACCGGTAGTAGGTTATGTTATGATTTTCAAAACACAGCGGTACACTAATTTAAAAAAATAGTTTAGATTTTTTTTTACCTTTTCTGAGTTAGTTAGTTAGTTAGTTAATCAGTTAGTTGCAACTATTTAGTCATAAAATTGCAGAACGGGAGCATTTTATTTTTTAATTCAGAAGAGTTGGACTTACACTAGTACCGTCCACGTTAGGCATTGTTATTGTGTTGGATTTGATTTTAAATTGTGTTAAATTAATGATTATTTTTTTTATTTTAAATTGTGTTAAATCGTTAAAAGCTGCGGCACTATTGCAGTAGGAGGTCTGAGTTTGGTGATAAACCTGCGTGGTCAGTGTAACAGCGACACTCGTTACAAATTAAGACTCTTGTTTTTGTCAGTGTTGTCAGCAAAGCACTTTAAAAGCAGTGATTTACACAAACAAACAAACAAACAAACAAACCAAAGTTAGTTAAAATGTTTTATATTTCAACACAACGTTCATACGGACTAAGATATTGTCGAAACAAGAAGCACGAGTTTTACTTTGAAAATCTCCCCACGGTTCTTTAAGAATATCCCTCTTCGTGTCACTTTGAGGGTCCGACGGATTTTTCTCTATCATCTACTTGGACATATAAACTTTTTTGTACTTCATTGTTATTTTTAATCCTCCCGCAAAACAAAGCCACGGGGACGTCGAAGTTTCTCGGCGGTTTTCTCCCTCGCCGGCTACAACTTTATTTCGAACACTTTCAGTGATATTTTGTTGCAGCGTCGACTTTTTCCCCATTTTTTTCTTTTTGAATGCGTTGCAAATATGACGATGTCACCGACGCCACTTTTTCCTGAAGTTATGGCGGAGCACAACTTCTCTAACTTCTCTTGGTAAGCTCGCACATATTTCAGGGCTATTTCCGCAGCTACTGTTTGAACAATGTCATTTTATCTACGACTACTGCTTTTTGCACGGCGCGAGGGCGACTCTGAAAACGTCAACGTCGGACAAGTGAAACGTTAAAGGAGCGTGAACGGAGCTTGGAAGTGTAACTTCACAGTTAGCCCACGGGCCTACGGGCTCAATTTCACTCTTTTATCTGCCACTACCGGGCCTTAATGAAACGCACACGTATTTAGAAACTCTTAAAGTCCAACAGATTTTGGGGCGAGTGAGTTTATGTTGCGACCGTGTTTGAGGATTGGGCAACGTCCGATATTATCGCAGTGGAAATACCCACGATACAATGACGGATTTATCATTGTTGTTTTAGTGATGAATGGGGACGTAAAGTTACCTTTTCTGTGAGGCAAATGGAAATAATATATTCACCTCTTCAACACAACAGTGACACCGACTTCATTTTGAAGTAAACAAATCCGTAGTTACTTCATTTCGGAACGTTACATTTGACTTTATCTACTGTATATCCATTCAAACAAACCGAAGGTAAAGTAAATTAATTTAGTTAGTTAGTTTTTTTTTTTTAAGTTGTCTGAGTTCTTGATTTCAATTAAGTTTCTTAGTTTTTTATTTAAATAATTTAATACAACGTCTAAGTTCTTAATTTCAATTAAGTTTCTTAGTTTTTTATGATTTTATGATTTATTTCTGAATGTTTCTCAGTGTATTTGACACCTGAAGTTTAATTCACCAGCAGGTTTGGACTGAATGACTCGGTGCCAGGTTGACATAAATCAAGGTGTTAATTTAGTATCATTACCTGCAGGCTGGATTTTACAGATACAAGTTAAAAGATTAAAACAGTGTGAACTCCTGTTTCCTGCTGCTAACGGACACTTTTTGATATTCGACTGGTGCAATATGACATTTCTTAATGATAAGTTGTCTTACATAAAATGTTGCCTACCAACATGTGTTTCAGGTGCGTAGTGTTGTGGTTGAAGATATTTGTATGTGAGGGTTTACTTTTTCTAATTTGTCACTTTTTACATTTAAAATCTTACTTTTTTTCACCAAGATTCTGTTTTTTTAGGCCCATTTACTGTCAAAAATGTTAATTTGTAGTTGTCATTTCCGTCCCCTTTCCTTCAGTCTCGTCTTTTCAAACATTTTAATGTGCTACACGCTGACCCGCTGGAGGTCAGGGCCAAGAACAACAAAGTCTCTGCGTTATTGTGGGGTTCCATTCTTTTCTAGACGGAACGCGTCTCTCGTTTTGAACAAAGCTTGATGTAAAAGGCTGAAGTGGCTGTGCTAAGATTCTGAGCGTTTGTAGTTTCACACCACAGCCTGTGTGTGCGCTGTGAGACGGTGTCTGTTTATTGTTAGCATCTCTCAGCAGAGGACACGGCAGATTTAATGAGTGAGTGGATGCACACACACACACACACACACACACACACACTGTACCCACTGGTGGGGGACATCATTAGGCAGAGTCGGGTGTGTTTGTAGATTTATAGTTGGCAGTGAAAACAGCCGACGATGAGGGAGAGTGTTTATACAGGGCGGCTTCAGCTAAATCTGGAACAGCCTCTTCTTCTGGGTCTGTTACCTGTTTGACTAATGTTTCCTCCACCGCTGTCGGATACACGCAGCTTAAATCCGACGTTGTTTAGGGATTTTTGGGATCGTCCTCCGTGTGTTATGAACTTCTTTGTCTAACTTCTCCGACCGCACAGAAGAAAGAGTCTGTAAATAACACACGTGACCCCAGTGTTGGCCCCAGATTATCTTTGTCTGAGTGGATTAGGTCGTCTGCATTGTTCTGCTGCTGCAGCTACAGCACCTTTGTCAGACATATTTAATAAGAAATAGATAATAAAATAAAAGGAATGAAACGTCTTTGATGCTCCAAGAAGAAGTCCAGTTGATAACAACTAAACTCTTTGGATAACGTGACCTGGATGAATGAGAATCTAATCAAAACAATTCAACCCTCATGGTGTATTTTCTGACCAGAAGGTCTTCGTTTGTTTGAGTTTTGGGGTAAAAACATTTTTCGGTGAAATGACTTTAAAATCTGCTTCGTACAAACAGATTAAAAAACGTTCAAACCCAGATTTCATCTGATCCATTTAAGGCTTCACTAAAGATTGGCAACAGACGACAAAGTTAACCTGAAAAAACTAGCCTCTGAGAAGGAGACGTACAATAACAGACAATACAGATATAACGATACTCTGAACTCACGATACGATTATGTCGCTTAGGCTACGTAGGGATGCGAAATCTTGGTTTAATAGCGTGTCATAACTAATGTTTTTAGGTGCATACCGCCACCTACTGTACTAGAGTGTGTAGGGTCATGGTGTGACCGGCACTTCTTGTTGATATTTTAGTTTTTGTAGATGTTGCAGCTCGCCGTTAGTCTTGTTGTTATTGCAAACTTGAAATCCTGTCTTACAGGTGACTCTTTGACACACGCCATGTCGTCGCTCTGTGACGACACACACACACACACACACACACACACCCTGTCAATCAGAGGGTTCTTCATTATTATTTCTCTCTTCTTCCATGTTGATGCGTTAGCTGAGCTTCTGTATTTAACCTTTTTATTTTGCAGTAATGTTTAATTTTTTTTAAACTTTTTTTACACTGTTGTGATTGTCATCTCTGGGACTTAATCTTAGTAAACTGAAAGATAAATTGTTAAAATATATATATTTTTACTCTGATAAGCTAAATATTAAAAAATAAATGTCATTTCCACTTTTTATGCTGAGTCTTTATACACTGACAGTACACAGAGGGAGAGAGAGGGAGGGAGAGAGGGAGAGAGAGCGATCTAATGTAATATTAATTAAGAAGTCCAATGGTGATATGTGCTCTCAGGCTCTCTGAGTACGGCTACCCTCAGTCAATGTGTGCCTTTCTTCAGACCACTGAGAGCGCTTGGCTTTACTAATGGAGCACCTCCAGGGAGCGTGGAAGACTCTGAGCAACGGCTTTGGAATGAAGGACTCAGCCTTCGAGGGCTCCTGCCTCTCGCCGACCATGGTGCAGGGCTTTCCTTGCCAGCGTCGCTCTTCGGACGACAGCAAAATGCCCGACTCCAAGACGAGCAGCACAATACGAGTTTATCTCCCCAACCAGCAGCGCACTGTGGTGAGTGGTCGGCTCCTGTCGTCCAATAGCAGGAGGGAGTTGTTGGTGAGAACCAGCCGCTCATCTGCCCGCCTCCTTTTCATTCCCCAGGTGAACGTGCGACCAGGTATGACGTTGCAGAGTTGCCTGATTAAAGCCCTGATGGTCCGGGGGCTGCAGCCTCAGTGCTGTGCCGTCTTCAGGCTCCATCCAGGACAGAGAAGGTGAGCTCAGCCCTGATGTGGGCGTGAAACCAGAGAAACCTGATCAGAGTTTGTACAGATCGTTTTCCTGCTCGCTTCAGTTCATCCCTTCAATAAAAAATCTGCTCTGTGACAGTAAGAAGCTGAGGATGGATTGGAACACGGACTCCACCTCTCTGATTGGGGAGGAGCTCCTGGTGGAGTTTCTAGACCACGTCCCTTTGACCACACATAATTTTGTGAGTAGCTGCACTGCATTTGGCTGCACTTGGTGTTCAACACGCATAAACGACCTGAAGTGAGAAAAATCATTTACGTTTCAATCTCGTTTTCAGGTTCGCAAAACGTACCTGAAGCTGGCGTTCTGCGACATCTGCCAGAAGTTTCTCTTGAATGGTTTTCGTTGCCAAACGTGCGGTTACAAATTCCACGAGCATTGTAGCACCAAAGTGCCGACCATGTGCGTGGACTGGAGTAACATCAGACAACTGCTGTAAGTCACAGAAATGTTGGCACAAGTCAATAATAACAGGTTAACGTGGACGGTTTTAGATCCACGGACTTGATAAAAGATTAACGTCAGTGATGGTTAGGGCTGTAAGAAAAACTGATATGTTGAAATACTGTGATCTCTCCTCTCCTGATCCCGTATCAATCTCCTCCTCCATCAGTTATTGATTTTTTTTCTTCACCAACTCCCAGTCCAATATTCCTGGTGTTGGTTCATGTTCTTTTTCTTTTCTTTCTTCTCTAGTGATTCCAAATGTAGATCCCTCTGTTCCAGTGTCAGGTTGTGGTAAAATTGAAGAAAAAAAATCTGATTAATTATCAGTTATTGTCTGTAAAAAGCTCTTAATTTTTATATAAGTGTTTTTGGGAACAGGTTTGTGCACTGGTTCTCCTTCAACATGTCGCTGTGACAGTGGAGCAGAACATGTATTTACACGACTGCTGCTGCTGCTGCTGCTGCTGCTGCTGCTGCTGCACAGGCTACACCCAAATATTGACTTATTTTTGATTTTTATTTTTTTTTCAGGTTGTGTACAACACCTGGCGAGGGCAGCGGTCCATCACTGCCACCTCTGACATCACGGCGGATGACACGCTTCCCAAGGTTTGAACCACACAAACCGTCTGTGTTTGACTGATGTGTCATGGACAGTTGCCCCTTTGACTGGTGGTAAATGTGAGAGTAGTTGTGGTTAAATGTTCCTCTGGTCTCGGGGGGTGGAGGGGTGTTAGGAGGTTTGGGTCTCAGACCTGGACTGAAAACATCAGATCCTGTTCCTTAAAGAGACGTCAACAGATTCTTTAAAGCAGTTTGGATTATTATTGACAAATCCTGTTTAACATTTACTGTCAGTGTTACACTATTGACCCCCCCCCTCCCCCCGGCCCCCACGTCAACACATTTACTCAACGTTTATTTTAAACACACTTTCTCAGTTTTACTGAGGGGCAGTTAAAGAACAGATTGAATCAAAACTCAATCTGTGGCTGCACTGAGGGGACCCGCCCTCCACTTTGGGAACCCCTGGTTTGACCTGTTCATCAGTCCATATGACTGACCTGACAGTCGGCCACAGTCACTGATGATGAAAGTTAATGATGAACTCCCCCCCCCCCCCCCCCCCCCCCCCCTCT